ACTTCAAAAAGCCTAACGCAAGTAGAAAGTGCTCTAATTGTTCCCGTGCAAACAGCGCCAGGTACATGGAATGCCCCTACCTAAAGGAGATCAAGAAAGCAATAACATACTCTGCCGTCTCCAGGATTGCTCCTAACGTAAAAGCAAAGAAAAGGAACTAGATGTCCTGTTCAGCCAAGCCACACATCGCAGCAGCAGATACGACAAAGCCTCAAAACGAAAGAGCACAAATGAAGCCGAAATTGAATCACCCAGAAGAGAAAAGGCAGCTTTAGAAGTCAAGCGCGCCGAGGATAGAACCGAGATGACAGGACAACGAAGCATAATCCAAGAAGCACTCAAGGCCTTGAAACGTAAGGAGGCTGAAGTCGCAGACATGACAAAGTTCAAGTCAGATATCAATGCAGTGCTGTCCTGCATCCAGTCCCAAACGGAGAAGCCAGCCGAGGTAGAGCAGAGCAACTACCAACAAATCAAAGAAAGCCAACAGGCTTACGTAACAAAGGTAACCAATCTAGAGGAAGCAAATGAGAGACTGCAACTTAAGGTGACGCAAACAAGAGACATATGCGAAGGGAGAGAGAAGGCCCGAAAGGAGGCTATCAGGCAGGCAGGCAAATTCTATTAGTTCTTCTCATGACTAGCAGACATCCACTCTTGAAAGAAGCCTGTGCGTCGCAAAAATCTAAGGAAAACCACAACAAGAAGTAAACTCACGTCACAATAGAAGACAAACTAAAATTGCAAAGAAACTGGGACTTAATAAAAACCAAGCCCTCGTGGCAAGTTGGAGTAGTCCAAAGTTTCCTGGGTTGTCCCCCCCCCCCCCCCCCCCCCCCAATTCTAACGTAACGTAAAAGCCGCTGTGTTTTTTTTTCTCCATCTTAAGATAACTTTCTAATAAAATTGTATATATGTAATTTTGTAGATCTACAGTATATTTACCTCATAAGGACGAGTAATTTCTGTTCTAACAATAAAATAATAAGTACACTGCTTAATATGTCTTCTTCTTCTCCTTGTTCTTGTACTTTTTCTTCATTTGGTTCTTGTTGTTCTTAATCTTGTTCTTCTTGTTATTTTCGTTCTTGTTCTTCATCTTCTCCCTAATATAGTCCATGCCGTGTAACGTTGGTAGTCATGTTATCGACGACCGTCCGCCTCGTGTACTTTCAAACAACTCTGACACAGATGATCCTCCATGCCGTGTAACGTTGGTAGTCATGTTATCCACGACCGTCTGCCTCGTGTACTTTCAAACAACTCTGACACAGATGATCCTCCATGCCGTGTAACGTTGGTAGGCATGTTATCCACGACCGTCCGCCTCGTGTACTTTCAAACAACTCTGACACAGATGATCCTCCATGCCGTGTAACGTTGGTAGGCATGTTATCCACGACCGTCTGCCTCGTGTACTTTCAAACAACTCTGACACTGATGATCCTCCATGCCGTGTAACGTTGGTAGTCATGTTATCCACGACCGTCTGCCTCGTGTACTTTCAAACAACTCTGACACAGATGATCCTCCATGCCGTGTAACGTTGGTAGGCATGTTATCCACGACCGTCCGCCTCGTGTACTTTCAAACAACTCTGACACAGATGATCCTCCATGCCGTGTAACGTTGGTAGTCATGTTATTCACGACCGTCCGCCTCGTGTACTTTCAAACAACTCTGACACAGATGATCCTCCATGCCGTGTAACGTTGGTAGGCATGTTATCCACGACCGTCCGCCTCGTGTACTTTCAAACAACTCTGACACAGATGATCCTCCATGCCGTGTAACGTTGGTAGTCATGTTATTCACGACCGTCCGCCTCGTGTACTTTCAAACAACTCTGACACAGATGATCCTCCATGCCGTGTAACGTTGGTAGGCATGTTATCCACGACCGTCCGCCTCGTGTACTTTCAAACAACTCTGACACAGATGATCCTCCATGCCGTGTAACGTTGGTAGTCATGTTCTCCACGACCGTCTGCCTCATGTACTTTCAAACAACTCTGACACAGATGATCCTCCATGCCGTGTAACGTTGGTAGTCATGTTATTCACGACCGTCCGCCTCGTGTACTTTCAAACAACTCTGACACAGATGATCCTCCATGCCGTGTAACGTTGGTAGTCATGTTCTCCACGACCGTCTGCCTCATGTACTTTCAAACAACTCTGACACAGATGATCTTCCATGCCATGATGTCAGACTGTACAACATCTTTTATCTCAGGCACCCACTCCTCCCCTTCATCTTTCCTTCTGTCACGATGTACTCCAGTTTTCACTTTCTCATCACGTTACAAGTGAATGTAGATTGTTTCTATCTGATGTTGGTATCAGTTATTTTCTCGAGGTTAATATGCGATTAAAATGTATTTGCAACGACTTCCGAGATCGATTTTCGAGTGAATTTTTCTTCGTTTGAGAATAGATAGTTCGGGGCTGAGAAGGTATTAAATCATGTTTAGTTAACTCCTGTGGGAACATTCTTTTGATATTTGTTTTTAAAATTCCACATTGCCCCTGAAATAGATTATTGACGAATATTGTAGTTAAGCTGTAGGTCTATCCCAGGCTTTGTGAAGGGAATCACACACGATATTCAGATAAGTTTTATCCTTGTTTGTGGACGGATTTACATTTTATATATTGACCTAACGTAGGGTTTGAAGAGTGTTTCTGACTCAGTTTCCACACAGATTTATCCTCCTTTTACGGTGTTGTACTTAATGTTAAGTTCCGTTTCCTTGAGGTTGAACAGGGAATCCACCAGAATAGTTTCTGGTTGTAAAAACTGGTAAACTGATGGGACGATACTTTTCTCGTTTAGAGAATAAGGTTGGCGCTACACATTGGAGGTTACATACCATGTGGTTGCTTGTGTTTCGCCCTTTAGGATCCCGGGGGCATCATATAAAAACATCAGACATCAACTGCTCCTGGGATGAGCTATACAGATAATTCAAGTCGTCCAAATCCTTTCTCAGCTGTCACGTTGTGTCCTGTGGGGAACTGTTCATGTTTGCTGATGGATTGTTCTGTTTGTTGATGGACTGTTCGTGTTTGTTGATGGACTGTTTATGTTTGTTGATGGTCTGTTTATGTTTTTTGACCGACTGTTCATGTTTCTTGATGGGCTGTTTATGTTTGTTGATGGACTGTTCATGTTTGTTGATGGATTGTTTGTGTTTTTGATGGACTGCTTATGTTTGTTGATGAACTGTTCTTGTTTGTTGATGAAATGTTCGTGTTTGTTGATAAACTGTTCCTGTCTGTTAATGAAGTGTTCGTGTTTGTTAATGGACTGTTCATGTTTGTGGATGAAGTGTTCGTGTTTGTTAATGGACTGTTCATGTTTGTTGATGAACTGTTTATGTTTGTTGATAAACTGTTCATGTTTATTAATGAACTGTTTATGTTTGTTGATAAACTGTTCATGTTTTTTAATGAGCTGTTTATGTTTGTTGATAAACTGTTCATGTTTGTTAATGAACTGTTTATGTTTGTTGATAAACTGTTCATGTTTGTTAATGAACTGTTTATGTTTGTTGATAAACTTGTTATGTTTGTTAATGAACTGTTTATGTTTGTTAATAAAATGTTTATATTTGTTGATAAACTGTTCATGTTTGTTAATGAACTGTTTATGTTTGTTGATAAACTGTCCATGTTTGTTGATGAACTGTTTATGTTTGTTAATGAACTGTTTATGTTTGTTGATAAACTGTCCATGTTTGCTCGTGTGCACACGTAACTGTAAATATATGTTATGTAGGTGTGTCTTCTCCCCCTTTCTCTTCTCTCTAGTATATGTTTTAGGTGTGTCTTCCCCCTTCTCTCTTCTGTAGTATATGTTATAGGTGTGTCTTTCCCCCTTTCTCTTCTCTAGTATATGTTTTAGGTGTGTCTCCCCCCTTTCTCTTCTCTAGTATATGTTTTAGGTGTGTCTTCCCCCTTTCTTCTCTTCCCCTTTCTCTCTAGTATATGTTTTAGGTGTGTCTTCCCCCTTTCTCTTCTGTAGTATATGGTTATAGGTGTGTCTTCCCCCTTTCTCTTCTCTAGTATATGTTTTAGTGTGGTCTTCCCCTTTCTCTTCTGTAGTATATGTTATAGGTGTGTCTTCCCCCTTTCTCTTCTCTAGTATATGTTTTAGGTGTGTCTTCCCCCTTTCTCTTCTGTAGTATATGTTATAGGTGTGTCTTCCCCCTTTCTCTTCTCTAGTATATGTTTTAGGTGTGTCTTCCCCCTTTCTCTTCTGTAGTATATGTTATAGGTGTGTCTTCCCCCTTTCTCTTCTCTAGTATATGTTTTAGGTGTGTCTTCCCCCTTTCTCTTCTGTATATGTTATAGTGTGTCTTCCCCCTTTCTCTTCTCTAGTATATGTTTTAGGTGTGTCTAGTATATGTGTTTTAGGTGTGTCTTCCTATATGTTATAGGTGTGTCTTCCCCCTTTCTCTTCTCTAGTATATGTTTTAGGTGTGTCTTCCCCCTTTCTCTTCTGTAGTATATGTTATAGGTGTGTCTTCCCCCTTTCTCTTCTCTAGTATATGTTTTAGGTGTGTCTTCCCCCTTTCTCTTCTGTAGTATATGTTATAGGTGTGTCTTCCCCCTTTCTCTTCTCTAGTATATGTTTTAGGTGTGTCTTCCCCCTTTCTCTTCTCTAGTATATGTTATAGGTGTGTCTTCCCCCTTTCTCTTCTTTAGTATATGTTATAGGTGTGTCTTCCCCCTTTCTCTTCTCTAGTATATGTTTTAGGTGTGTCTTCCCCCTTTCTCTTCTCTAGTATATGTTTTAGGTGTGTCTTCCCCCTTCCTTTTCTCTAGTATATGTTATAGGTGTGTCTTCCCCTTCCTCTTCTTTGGTATATGTTATAGGTGTGTCTTCCCCTTCCTTTTCTTTAGTATATGTTACAGGTGTGACTTCCCCCTTCCTTTTCTCTAGTATATGTTATAGGTGTGTCTTTCACATTGCTTTTCTCTAGTATATGTTCTAGATGTGTCTTTTACTTTCCTTATCATTAATATATGTAAGGGGTGTGTCTTTTACCTTCCTCTTCTCTTGTATATGTTATAGGTGTGTCTTTCAGCTTCCTCAGGGACTGCGAGATTGTGCAGGGAGTTTCAGGGCAAGTCCAATATTATAGGCGGCTTAGGGTTGGGGTTAGTGTTAATCGGTATTGATTTGAAACACTAACACCCCTATACTATTGGACGTTCCTGGGAACTACCCGCAAAATTTCGAAGTCCTTGAGATGGGGTGTAATAAGAGAAAAACCCATACTGGATCACACTGTTATGGATGACATGGGCTGTTGTTGTTCTCGTGGTGAGCTAGCATAATGAAGTTGTTTCATTAAAAAGCAGACTAGTTCAGAAAGAAGATTGTAGCAGGCGAGGCAGGGACCTACCTACAGCAGTGGTCAACGCAAGATGTCACAGGTCGCATGGATTAGAGAATTCATCAGTCGAGACAACTTGTGAAGAATCTGGAGTTTGAAACACTGCCACGGTGAATTGCAAAGTTTGTCAGCTTTCATTGATGATGTAAGAAAGTTAATCGTGGACAATCTGCTGATCTTGTAAACAATAACGTAGAAGCCACACATATGAGGTTTTATAGAGGATGGTTGAGGAGGCTGGATAAACAAGAGTGATGAAGATAATCCAGGGAAAGATCTAGAGCCTCCACAGGTGATGTAGATTATCCAGGGAAAGATCTTTTGACCCACCACAGGTGATGTAGATTATCCAGGGAAAGAACTATTGACCCACCACAGGTGATGTAGATTATCCAGGGAAAGATCTTTTGACCCACCACAGGTGATGTAGATTATCCAGGGAAAGATCTATTGACCCACCACAGGTGATGTAGATTATCCAGGCAAAGATCTATTGACCCACCACAGGTGATGTAGATTATCCAAGGAAAGATCTTTTGACCCACCACAGGTGATGTAGATTATCCAGGTAAAGATCTATTGACCCACCACAGGTGATGTAGATTATCGAGGGAGAGATCTATTGACCCACCACAGGTGATGTAGATTATCCAGGGAAAAGAACCGACTAGCCACCACTGGTGTGGACAGTCTTTACTCTTTGGTGAGGTCATGAGGAGTAGCAGATTAGCAGGTCGGGACAATGGTTGGGGGAAAGGGGGACAAACGAACAAACTTTATTTTCAAAGGGTTACAAATTGGACACTCAGGCCCGTCTGACATTCGGCCCCTCTGAGCACTCATTTTTCAGAGTACCTATGGGACGGGTGGGTGGAGGACAGGAGTTAGCTGGACAGTTGGACATCATGGCCCGGTCACCGCGTTTTCTGGTTTAGCCAACTTACGCTAGCGAGGCCGGACAACGTAAATCTGGGAGAAATATCTTTTCTGTTAACACCGCAAGGAGTTTTGTCACTGCGTGTTTAGGATCATGGCCACGTCTGACGTTCTTGTTGCCCTGTCTCCACCCCCACCAGGTGCCTACCTCATCGTCAGCTTTACCATCTTCCTACTGGGTCGGTTCAGCCCCTACGAATGGTACAACCCACACCCTTGCAACCCGGACACAGACACGGTAGCCAACACCTTCAGCATCTCAAACAGTCTCTGGTTCACCGTGGGAACCCTAATGCAGCAGGGATCAGGTAAACTCACATGTGTTCTTACTCACTGCTGACCTCTTACACCTGTGTTCTCACTCACTGCTGACCTCTTACACCTGTGTTCTCACTCACTGCTGACCTCTTACACCTGTGTTCTCACTCACTGCTGACCTCTTACACCTGTGTTCTCACTCACTGCTGACCTCTTACACCTGTGTTCTCACTCACTGCTGACCTCTTACACCTGTGTTCTTACTCACTGCTGACCTCTTACACCTGTGTTCTCACTCACTGCTGACCTCTTACACCTGTGTTCTCACTCACTGCTGATCTCTTACACCTGTGTTCTCACTCACTGCTGACCTCTTACACCTGTGTTCTCACTCACTGCTGACCTCTTACACCTGTGTTCTTACTCACTGCTGACCTCTTACACCTGTGTTCTTACTCACTGCTGACCTCTTACACCTGTGTTCTCACTCACTGCTGACCTCTTACACCTGTGTTCTCACTCACTGCTGACCTCTTACACCTGTGTTCTCACTCACTGCTGACCTCTTACACCTGTGTTCTCACTCACTGCTGACCTCCCACACCTGTGTTCTCACTCACTGCTGACCTCCCACACCTGTGTTCTCACTCACTGCTGACCTCCCACACCTGTGTTCTCACTCACTGCTGACCTCCCACACCTGTGTTCTCACTCACTGCTGACCCCTTACACCTGTGTTCTCACTCACTGCTGACCTCCCACACCTGTGTTCTCACTCACTGCTGACCTCCCACACCTGTGTTCTCACTCACTGCTGACCTCCCACACCTGTGTTCTCACTCACTGCTGACCTCCCACACCTGTGTTCTCACTCACTGCTGACCTCCCACACCTGTGTTCTCACTCACTGCTGACATCCCACACCTGTGTTCTCACTCACTGCTGACCTCCCACACCTGTGTTCTAACTTACTACTGACTACCCACACCTGTATTCTCACTCACCACTGACCTTTAACACCTGTTTTCTCAAACAAACTGACTTTCCACACTTATGTTCTTACTCACACTGACCTCACACACCTGTGTTCTCACTCACACTGACCTCCCACACCTGTGTTCTTACTCACACTGACCTCCCACACCTGTGTTCCCACTCACACTGACCTCCCACACCTGTGTTCCCACTTATACTGACCTCCCACACCTTTGTTCTCAATCACACTGAACTCCCACACCCGTGTTCTCACTCACACTGACTTCCCACACCTGTGTTCCCACTCACACTGACCTCCCACACCTGTGTTCTCACTCACACGGACCTCCAATACCTTTGTTCTCAATCACACTGAACTCCCACACCGGTGTTCTCACACAGCAATGAACTCTAACACCTTGTAATCAAAGTTGTGACTTGTATGTGTCTACGTTTTTGCAGACCTCAACCCTCACGATCCCCCCCCCCCCCACCCCCAGGTGTGACTTGTATGTATCTATGTGTTACATACATCAACCCTCGCTTTCCCCCCAGGTGTGACTTGTATGTGTCTACGTGTTACAGACATCAACCCTCGCTATCCCCCCAGGTGTGACTTGTATGTGTCTACGTGTTGCAGGCACCAACCCTCACTATCCCCCAGGTGTGACGTGTATGTGTCTATGTGTTACATACATCAACCCCCGCTTACCCCCCAGGTGTGACTTGTATGTGTCTACGTGTTACATACATCAACTCTCGCTTTCCCCCCAGGTGTGACTTGTATATGTCTACGTGTTACATACATCAACTCTCAATATCCCCCAGGTGTGACTTGTATGTGTTTACGTGTTACATACATCAACCCTCGCTATCCCCCCAGGAGTGACTTGTATGTGTCTATGTGTTACATACATCAACCCTCGCTATCCCCCCAGGTGTGACTTGTATGTGTCTATGTGTTACATACATCAACCCCCGCTTTCCCCCCAGGTGTGACTTGTATGTGTCTACGTGTTACATACATCAACTCTCGCTTTCCCCCCATGTGTGACTTGTATATGTCTACGTGTTACATACATCAACTCTCAATATCCCCCAGGTGTGACTTGTATGTGTCTACGTGTTACATACATCAACCCTCGCTTTCCCCCCAGGTGTGACTTGTATATGTCTACGTGTTACATACATCAACCCTCGCTTTCCCCCCAGGTGTGACTTGTATGTGTCTACGTGTTACATACATCAACCCTCGCTATCCCCCCAGGAGTGACTTGTATGTGTCTATGTGTTACATACATCAACCCTCGCTATCCCCCCCCCACCCCCAGGTGTGACTTGTATGTGTCTATGTGTTACATACATCAACCCTCACTATCCCCCCAGGTGTGACTTGTGTGTGTCTATGTGTTATATACATCAACCCTCACTATCCCCCCAGGTGTGACTTGTATGTGTCTATGTGTTACATACATCAACCCTCACTATCCCCCCAGGTGTGACTTGTATGTGTCTACGTGTTGCAGGCATCAACCCTCACTATACCCCAGGTGTGACTTGTATGTGTCTATGTGTTACATACACCAACCCTCGCTATCCCAGGTGTGACTTGTGTTTGTCTACGTGTTGCAGACATCAACCCTTGCTATCCCCCCAGGAGTGACTTGTATGTGTCTATGTGTTACATACATCAATCCTCGCTATCCCCCCAGGAGTGACTTGTATGTGTCTATGTGTTACATACATCAACCCTCGCTATCCCCCCCCCCACCCCCAGGTGTGACTTGTATGTGTCTATGTGTTACATACATCAACCCTCACTATCCCCCCAGGTGTGACTTGTGTGTGTCTATGTGTTACATACATCAACCCTCACTATACCCCCAGGTGTGACTTGTATGTGTCTATGTGTTACATACATCAACTCTCGCTATCCCCCCAGGTGTGACTTGTATATGTCTATATGTTACATACATCAACCCTCGCTATCCCCCCAGGTGTGACTTGTATATGTCTATGTGTTACATACATCAACCCTCACTATCCCCCAGGTGTGACTTGTATGTGTCTATGTGTTACATACATCAACCCTCGCTATCCCCCCAGGTGTGACTTGTATGTGTCTATGTGTTACATACATCAACCCCCGCTTTCCCCCCAGGTGTGACTTGTATGTGTCTACGTGTTACATACATCAACTCTCGCTTTCCCCCCAGGTGTGACTTGTATATGTCTACGTGTTACATACATCAACTCTCAATATCCCCCAGGTGTGACTTGTATGTGTTTACGTGTTACATACATCAACCCTCGCTTTCCCCCTAGGTGTGACTTGTATATGTCTACGTGTTACATACATCAACCCTCGCTTTCCCCCAGGTGTGACTTGTATGTGTCTACGTGTTACATACATCAACCCTCGCTATCCCCCCAGGTGTGACTTGTATGTGTCTATGTGTTACATACATCACCCTCGCTATCCCCCCCCCCCCAGGTGTGACTTGTATGTGTCTATGTGTTACATACATCAACCCTCACTATCCCCCCAGGTGTGACTTGTGTGTGTCTATGTGTTACATACATCAACCCTCACTATCCTCCCAGGTGTGACTTGTATGTGTCTATGTGTTACATACATCAACCCTCACTATCCCCCCAGGTGTGACTTGTATGTGTCTATGTGTTACATACATCAACCCTCACTATCCCCCCAGGTGTGACTTGTATGTATCTATGTGTTACATACATCAACCCTCGCTTTCCCCCCAGGTGTGACTTGTATGTGTCTACGTGTTACAGACATCAACCCTCGCTATCCCCCCCAGGTGTGACTTGTATGTGTCTACGTGTTGCAGACATCAACCCTCGCTATCCCCCAGGTGTGACGTGTATGTATCTATGTGTTACATACATCAACCCTTGCTTTCCCCCCAGGTGTGACTTGTATTTGTCTACATGTTACATACATCAACCCTCGCTATCCCCCCAGGTGTGACTTGTATATGTCTATGTGTTACATACATCAACCCTCACTATCCCCCAGGTGTGACTTGTATGTGTCTATGTGTTACATACATCAACCCTCGCTATCCCCCCAGGTGTGACTTGTAAGTGTCTATGTGTTACATACATCAACCCCCGCTTTCCCCCCAGGTGTGACTTGTATGTGTCTACGTGTTACATACATCAACTCTCGCTTTCCCTCCAGGTGTGACTTGTATATGTCTACGTGTTACATACATCAACTCTCAATATCCCCCAGGTGTGACATGTATGTGTTTACGTGTTACATACATCAACCCTCGCTTTCCCCCTAGGTGTGACTTGTATATGTCTACGTGTTACATACATCAACCCTCGCTTTCCCCCAGGTGTGACTTGTATGTGTCTACGTGTTACATACATCAACCCTCGCTATCCCCCCAGGTGTGACTTGTATGTGTCTATGTGTTACATACATCAACCCTCGCTATCCCCCCCCCCCCAGGTGTGACTTGTATGTGTCTATGTGTTACATACATCAACCCTCACTATCCCCCCAGGTGTGACTTGTGTGTGTCTATGTGTTACATACATCAACCCTCACTATCCTCCCAGGTGTGACTTGTATGTGTCTATGTGTTACATACATCAACCCTCACTATCCCCCCAGGTGTGACTTGTATGTGTCTATGTGTTACATACATCAACCCTCACTATCCCCCCAGGTGTGACTTGTATGTATCTATGTGTTACATACATCAACCCTCGCTTTCCCCCCAGGTGTGACTTGTCTGTGTCTACGTGTTACAGACATCAACCCTCGCTATCCCCCCCAGGTGTGACTTGTATTTGTCTACATGTTGCAGACATCAACTCTCGCTATCCCCCCAAGTGTGACTTGTATATGTCTATGTGTTACATACATCAACCCTCGCTATCCCCCCAGGTGTGACTTGTATAAGTCTATGTGTTACATACATCAACCCTCGCTATCCCCCAGGTGTGACTTGTATGTGTCTATGTGTTACATACATCAACCCTCGCTATCCCCCAAGGTGTGACTTGTACGTGTCTACGTGTTACATACATCAACCCTCGCTTTCCCCCCAGGTGTGACTTGTATATGTCTACGTGTTACATACATCAACTCTCAATATCCCCCAGGTGAGACTTGTATGTGTCTACGTGTTACATACATCAACCCTCGCTTTCCCCCCAGGTGTGACTTGTATATGTCTACGTGTTACATACATCAACCCTCGCTTTCCCCCCAGGTGTGACTTGTATGTGTCTACGTGTTACATACATCAACCCTCGCTATCCCCCCAGGTGTGACTTGTATGTGTCTATGTGTTACATACATCAACCTTCGCTATCCCCCCCCCCACCCCCAGGTGTGACTTGTATGTGTCTGTGTGTTACATACATCAACCCTCACTATCCCCCCAGGTGTGACTTGTATGTGTCTGTGTGTTACATACATCAACCCTCACTATCCCCCCAGGTGTGACTTGTATGTGTCTGTGTGTTACATACATCAACCCTCGCTATCCCCCCAGGTGTGACTTGTATGTGTCTGTGTGTTACATACATCAACCCTCATTATGCCCCCAGGTGTGACTTGTATGTGTCTGTGTGTTACATACATCAACCCTCACTATCCCCCCAGGTGTGACTTGTGTGTGTCTATGTGTTACATACATCAACCCTCACTATCCCCCCAGGTGTGACTTGTATGTGTCTATGTGTTACATACATCAACCCTCACTATCCCCCCAGGTGTGACTTGTATGTGTCTATGTGTTACATACATCAACCCTCACTATCCCCCCAGGTGTGACTTTTATGTGTCTATGTGTTACATACATCAACCCTCGCTTTCCCCCCAGGTGTGACTTGTATGTGTCTACGTGTTACAGACATCAACCCTCGCTATCCCCCCAGGTGTGACTTGTATGTGTCTACGTGTTGCAGGCATCAACCCTCACTATCCCCCCAGGTGTGACTTGTATGTGTCTATGTGTTACATACATCAACCCTCGCTATCCCAGGTGTGACTTGTGTGTTTCTATGTGTTACATACATCAACCCTTACTATCCCCCCAGGTGTGACTTGTGTGTGTCTATGTGTTACATACATCAACCCTCACTATCCCCCCAGGTGTGACTTGTATGTGTCTATGTGTTACATACATCAACCCTCGCTATCCCAGGTGTGACTTGTGTGTGTCTATGTGTTACATACATCAACCCTCACTATCCCCCCCCCCCCCCCAGGTGTGACTTGTGTGTGTCTATGTGTTACATACATCAACCCTCGCTATCCCCCCAGTTGTGACTTGTATGTGTCTACGTGTTGCATACATCAACCCTCACTATCCCCCCAGGTGTGACTTGTATGTGTCTATGTGTTACATACATCAACCCTTGCTATCCCAGGTGTGACTTGTGTGTGTCTATGTGTTACATACATCAACCCTCGCTATCCCCCCAGGTGTGACTTGTATGTGTCTATGTGTTGCAGACATCAACCCTCGCGCTGTGAGCACTCGCATCGTGGGTGGCATCTGGTGGTTCTTCACCCTGATCATCATTTCCTCCTACACGGCCAACCTGGCAGCTTTCCTGACCGTGGAGCGAATGGTGTCACCCATAGAGAGCGCCGAGGATCTCTCCCGACAGACAGAGATTGAGTACGGCACTCGAGTCAGTTCTTCCACCTTATCCTTCTTCATGGTAAGTACAGCTAGTAATCGCCCCCTTCCCATCCAGTTGTGACCAATAATGCGAAGGCAGTAATTATTTGCGGCTTAGCTTCTTAATACTGGAGTGCTAAGTTCGATTTGGTTCGGTCGTGAATGTTATCTAACCCGTGACTGGTCGTGGATGTTATCTAACCCGTGACTGGTCGTGGATGTTATCTAACCCGTGACTGGTCGTGGCTGTTATCTCACCCGTGACTGGTCGTGGCTGTTATCTCACCTGTGACTGGTCGTGGCTGTTATCTCACCCGTGACTGGTCGTGCCTGTTATCTCACCCGTGACTGGTCGTGGCTGTTCTCTCACCCGTGACTGGTCGTGGCTGTTATCTCACCCGTGACTGGTCGTGGCTGTTATCTAACCCGTGACTGGTCGTGGCTGTTATCTAACCCGTGACTGGTCGTGGCTGTTATCTAACTCGTGACTGGTCGTGGCTGTTATCTCACCCGTGACTGGTCGTGGCTGTTATCTAACCCGTGACTGGTCGTGGATGTTATCTAACCCGTGACTGGTCGTGGATGTTACCTAACCCGTGACTGGTCGTGGCTGTTATCTCACCCGTGACTGGTCGTGGCTGTTATCTCACCTGTGACTGGTCGTGGCTGTTATCTCACCCGTGACTGGTCGTGGCTGTTATCTCACCCGTGACTGGTCGTGGCTGTTCTCTCACCCGTGACTGGTCGTGGCTGTTATCTCACCCGTGACTGGTCGTGGCTGTTATCTAACCCGTGACTGGTCGTGACTGTTATCTAACCCGTGACTGGTCGTGGCTGTTATCTAACTCGTGACTGGTCGTGGCTGTTATCTCACCCGTGACTGGTCGTAGCTGTTATCTAACCTGTGACTGGTCGTGGCTGTTATCTAACCCGTGACTGGTCGTGGCTGTTATCTAACCCGTGACTGGTCGTGGCTGTTATCTCACCCGTGACTGGTCGTGGCTGCTGTCTAACCCGTGACTGGTCGTGGCTGTTCTCTCACTCGTGACTGGTTGTGGCTGTTATCTAACCCGTGACTGGTCGTGGCTGTTATTTCACCTGTGACTGGTCGTGGCTGTTATCTAACGCGTGACTGGTCGTGGCTGTTATCTAACCCGTGACTGGTCGTGGCTGTTCTTTAACCTGTGACTGGTCGTGGCTGTTCTTTCACCTGTGACTGGTCGTGGCTATTCTTTCACCCGTGACTGGTCGTGGCTGTTCTCTCACCCGTGACTGGTCGTGGCTGTTCTTTCACCCGTGACTGGTCGTGGCTGTTCTCTCACCTGTGACTGGTCGTGGCTGTTATCTAACCCGTGACTGGTCGTGGCTGTTCTTTCACCTGTGACTGGTCGTTGCTTTTCTTTCACTTGTGACTGGTCGTGGCTGTTATCTAATCCGTGACTGGTCGTGGCTGTTATCTAACCCGTGACTGGTCGTGGCTGTTCTTTCACCTGTGACTGGTCGTTGCTGTTCTTTCATTTGTGACTGGTCGTGGCTGTTATCTAACCCGTGACTGGTCGTGGCTGTTATCTAACCCGTGACTGGTCGTGGCTGTTCTTTCACCTGTGACTGGTCGTGGCTGTTCTTTCACCTGTGACTGGTCGTGGCTGTTCTTTCACCCGTGACTGGTCGTGGCTGTTATCTCACCCGTGACTGGTCGTGGCTGTTCTCTCACCCGTGACTGGTCGTGGTTGTTCTTTCACCCGTGACTGGTCGTGGCTGTTCTCTCACCCGTGACTGGTCGTGGCTGTTATCTAACCCGTGACTGGTTGTGGTTGTTCTCTCACCTGTGACTGGTCGTGGCTGTTCTCTCACCCGTGAGTGGTTGTGGTTGTTCTCTCACCTGCGACTGGTCGTGGCTGTTCTTTCACCCGTGACTGGTCGTGGCTGTTCTCTCACCCGTGACTGGTCGTGGCTGTTCTTTCACCCGTGACTGGTCGTCCCTGTTCTCTCACCCGTGACTGGTCGTGGCTGTTCTTTCACCTGTGACTGGTCGTGGCTGTTCTCTCCCCCGTGACTGGTCGTGGCTGTTCTTTCACCCGTGACTGGTCGTGGCTGTTCTCTCACCCGTGACTGGTCGTTGCTGTTCTTTTACCTTGTGACTGGTCGTGGCTGTTCTCTCACCCGTGACTGGTCGTTGCTGTTATTTCACCCGTGACTGGTCGTTTCTGTTCTCTCACCTGTGATTGGTTTTCGCTGTTATCTCACCCGTTTCTGGTTGCGACCGTTCTTTTACCCGTGACTGGTTTTCGCTGTTATCTCACCCGTGACTGTGTTCTCGCACACGTGACTTTCTGGCTGTTCTCCCACACGTGTTTTGTTGTAGCTGTTCCCTAATCCGTGATTGATTGTGGCTTTTTCCTCACCCGTGACTGGTCGTGGCTGTTCTCTCAACCGTGATTGGTTGCGACCGTTCTTTTACCCGTGGCTGGTTTTCGTGGTTCCCCCACACGTGACTGGCTGTGGCTGTTCTCTAACCGGCAGTTAAATCTCACACCTGCGCAATAACCATCATCATATTCAAATTAGCAGAATTTTAATTAATGAGGCTTCAGCAATAAGTGCAGTTACATCTTTGGCTAAACGACCGACAGCAAATAGAAGAGCACGTCTGATCTCAGACAAAAGACATATAGGCGTGTATTTCAGCTTCCTTTTCTCTAGTATATGTTATAGGTGTGTCTTTTACCTTCCTTTTCTCTAGTATATGTTCTAGATGTGTCTTTCACTTTCCTTTTCTCTGGTATATATTATAGGTGTTCTTTCAGCTTCCTTTTCTTTATGTGCATGTCATAGGCGTATCTTTCAGCTTCCTTTTGTCTAGTGTATGTTATAGGTGTGTCTTTTCAGGCTTTTCATCAGTCATTACGGAAAGTAGGCAGCATGAATTAGGTACGATTGTGCAGTAGCCTCTGACCGACTGTCTCTGCACACACGAGCAATAATGTCGAATCTTGAATGAATCTGTCACACAAGAACACAGACAGACAAGAGCACAAACAGACAAGAACACAGACAGACAAGAGCACAAACAGACAAGAACACAAACAGACAAGAACACAGACAGACAAGAGCACAAACAGACAAGAACACAAACAGACAAGAACACAGACAGACAAGAACACAGACAGACAAGAACACAAACAGACAAGAGCACAAACAGACAAGAACACAGACAGACAAGAACACAGACAGACAACTACGACAATTGGGAAAATAGACTGGGCTAGTAATATCAGCAGATAAATAATTACAGTAATTAGCCAATAATAATTCTGAGAAAAAAAAAGACAAATAACTAGATCGTTGAGTCATTTAATGGTCATAATTGCTGCTACTGATTGTGTGTGTTCGTCACAGAGGTAAAGCCGAGGCAACACCTGAACACACAACATCACTTTTGTACACATCCCTGGTGTCTGCACGTATTGGCCGTGTATGTGTGCCTGCTAATTCACGACAGATGTCGTTTCCTTGCACTTGTGTGTGTGTTTGTGTTTGGTGTATGTTTGTATGTTTGTATAAGCGTGTGAGTGGGCGCGCGAGTTTATGTGTGTGTGTGTGTGTGTGTGTGTGTGTGTGTGGTGTGTGTGTGTTTGCTTGCGTGTAGGGTCGTGTCGAAGATTTTCTCAGTAAGATGAGAGTTCAAAATGCCACCTCTTAAATTTTTTTTTTTGTTTGAAACATAACTTTTGATTGTGCTTTTTTTAAATTTAAACTGCACACAATTTAGGAATACTAATTTTTTTCTTCTTTTGAAAATGAAAACTACTTGACAGTAATGATATCCACTGACAGCTACATCAATCACTAGAGTTTTACCCTTCTAACTCTACATCAATCACTAGAGTTTTACCCTTCTAACTCTACATCAATCACTAGAGTTTTACCCTTCTAACTCTACATCAATCACTAGAGTTTTACCCTTCTAACTCTACATCAATCACTAGAGTTTTACCCTTCTAACTCTACATCAATCACTAGAGTTTTACCCTTCTAACTCTACATCAATCACTAGAGTTTTACCCTTCTAACTCTACATCAATCACTAGAGTTTTACCCTTCTAACTCTACATCAATCACTAGAGTTTTACCCTTCTAACTCTACATCAATCACTAGAGTTTTACCCTTCTAACTTTACATCAATCACTAGAGTTTTACCCTTCTAACTCTACACCAATCACTAGAGTTTTACCCTTCTAACTCTACATCAATCACTAGAGTTTTACCCTTCTAACTCTACATCAATCACTAGAGTTTTACCCTTCTAACTCTAACTCTAGCTTGAGCAAATTCGTTAATTAGAGATGTGTAGTTTCAGTGGCAGACAACGTATGTGTTCTAAAAAAAAAATAATGACAAGTTTTTGTTTGGCTTCTTGAACTTTTAAGTAGGCTTTTATTACTTTAAAAAAAAAAAAATGTGCCACAAACCTCTGACCGCCCAAGCTACAGCGGCAAGTAATGCTGATAAAAAAAAAAAAAAAAATGTGCCACAAACCTCTGACGGCCCAAGCTACAGCGGCAAGTAATGCTGATTTTAAAAAACAAATACTCAGAACTGCAACATTAATTGGATGCAAAGACTTTTTTTTTTCTCCTCAGAAATAATTTAAAACTTCCGAAACTTGTATAGACCCCATGAGTTGACACAGCCTTTATTACCACTCATATTTCAGAAATTATGTCTGTCTGTCTGTCTGTCTGTCTGTCTGTCTGTCTGTCTGTCTGTCTGTCTGTCTGTCTGTCTGTCTGTCTGTCTGTCTGTCTGTCTGTCTGTCTGTCTGTCTGTCTGTCTGTCTGTCTGTCTGTCTGTCTGTCTGTCTGTCTGTCTGTCTGTCTGTATATATGTGTGTATGTATGTATATAGGAATGTGTGTGTGTGTGTGCGTGTATATGCGTGTGTGCGCGTGCGCTTGTGTGCGTGTACGAGGCAAACATGAGAGAAAACAGTCACGTGTTAGTAAACACACACTAGACAACAGTTACGGTGTGCTTTAC